CTTTGGGTCTCTGCTACCACGCCCCTCGTTTTCAAAACAGCTTCTACCACGAGGAGAGAAGTGCACTTTCTCCTACTCTCTACTGCCCCCCTCCTTGGAAACGGAGACGCTGAGCAACAAACGCATCAACTCAATGCCGCTGGACAAAGTCCTGACTCTGGCCCACCCTCTGCAGAAGCAGCGCCACAGGGTTTTCTGAGAGCCCATTTTTACGATGGCACAATTGCCAGGCCTTCCTTGGGCGGCGCCCCTGGGTGGGTTGGCGCTGCCAACCTTTCAGTTAGCGGCCGGAGTGCAAACCTTTGGTTGCACCTGTCCCTCAAGCCAGGGAGGGTCCTTAGATGCTTTAGAGATCTACATCTACAATGGGTCTGCGTGACAGGGGATCCTGGGGATTCGCACAGCCTGCACCTCCCTGCAGGCTGACCCTGACGGAGTAGACACTGTGGAGCCAAGGGCTGGCAGGGGTGGGGAGGGAGGTCCAGGCCGGTGGCCTCTGGGGCAGCAGGGGCCCCCACTCACTCAGATCTGATGCGCCACAGATCCGATGACCGGCCCATGATAAGGTAGGCCTCCCGTTCCTGCAGCCCCAGGGAGTCGTGGCAGGTGGCGTGGGAGACAAATTTCTTCATGGCGAGGGGCGCTGCAAGGTCTGTGCCTGGAAGCGACCCAGTGCATGAGACCCCGGGTGGTAGCCCCCCCACCCTAACGCCCCTACCCCTTCACTCCCAAGGGCACAGACCACTCTTGATGACCTCTTGGAGCTGCATGTTGTAGTAGACATAGGGATTGGCGTCCGAGACCTCCACAGCCTGCAGCCTGGCCTTGTACACTGCGGGAGCGGCACGAAGGTCGTGGTGGGCGTCTAGCCTGCCCGGGTGTGTGTGGGTGGACGGGTCTGTCTGCCCTCCACAGCCCCCCACTCACCGAAGTCCACGCCCGCTTCACAAGCCGCTGCCTGGAGTTCCTCCTGGCGCCGCTGGTCCTTGCTCAGGGCTGGGCACTGCTCTGCCGGCCGGGTCAGGGGGTCGCTGTCTGGGCCACCCTGGGGGAGGGGACTCCCCATCCTGCCCCCGGTCTGCACCTTCAGGCTTAGGGCCTGGGAGACTCCCACCCCGTTGTGGTCGCTTTCCTGTCTGTTTCTCCCATCGCAGGCTCAGTGAGTCTGCGCCCTTCTCTATCTTTGGCCCTCGCAGTCGCTCTTTGTCTTCTCTGTTGTCCTCGGTCCTTCTCGACATCCGCCTCCCTCCCCCAGGGCCGTCGGGACGTATCTAAGGCCGCTGGGCCCCGGGGCCCGGCGGCCCTGGCACCCGGGGTCCCCGCGAGTCTCACCCTCGGCACATCTGCAGACGGATTTGTGACAGATCTTTCGCAGAGACGTGTCCTCCTGGGGCAAGTTGTAGAAGGCGCTGCACCTCAGGGCTGCCCAGGGCCGAGAGTGAGCTGGTGGGCTGGGCTGGAACCCTCGAAGTCTGACCACCCCTCTTTCCACCCCCGGTCAACCCACCCCGCCAGACCTAGGGCCAGGCTCCCTCCTACCCGGAGCGGTCCCAGGCCTGTCTCTGGCAGAATCTTGATCTTTCACATCCGGTCCCTGTCTCAGGCCTCTGCAGGTCGCATCTTGCCAGGCCTTGCTCTGACCGCTCCTCGATAGGCTCCTTCCTTTCTAAGATCCCGCCCCTTCTTACCCGCAGCCCCCAACCACTCCTACCCCAGATCTGCCCCACCTCTTCCTTCCTAGTTAGCCCAGCCCACCTGGAGCCACGAAAGGCCCCACCCACTCAGGTCCCGCCTGTGGCCTCGCCCCACAAGTCCAGTCCCCGCCCCATGGGCCCGCCCCACAAGCCCAGGCCCCACCCCATAGCCGCATCCTAAGTCCAGGCCCCTCTGGGCAACAACATGCCCTTCTCAGTCTGGCCCCTCACTTTCTCTCTCCCCCTCCCCGCTTCCTGGCCCTAGATAGTCTCAGCCCCTAGAGGGGCGTGCGGGGAGGGGGATACCTCTCCAACCCCGGGCCCCAGGCCCCTGCTTACAAGGCTGATAGTAGTCGTAGACAGTGACCAGGGCAGCCTGCAGGAATTCCGCCTGCAGCATCCTGTGCACCCGGAAGCCCAGCACCGTGTCCTGTTCGTGGGAGAGCTGGACGAGGAGGGGCCGTGTGTGAGGTGTCCACGGGGGCCATGAGCTCTGACGGGACCGCGTGGGCTTGACTGCCAGGGAGCTGACCTCGAGGGCATGGTTCGCGAGGGCGGCTCCCAGGCCCCTGCTGAGACGCCCAGCCTTGCTCACCTTCTCCAGGTAGAGCACCACCGTGCTGTCGCTGGAGCTGGTCTTGGTTTCGTATTGGAAGGCGTACATCTCTACATCACTGGTCAGCTGGGCAGACGAGGGGGTTAGGGGGGCGCAGAGAGCCTTTGGGTCCCCAATTCTGGGGGCTCCAGTCAGCATGAAGCAGCTCCCAGCTCTCCTATTGGGGGACTGAGGCCCAAGCAGGGCAACGCTTTCCGAAGGTCATGTGCGAAGTCTGCTCAAAGGGACCCTGGGGCCTTGACATGGGGCACGTGGGTCCTGTGTTACCTGTTTGAGGTCAGCCTGGTTGGGGTAGAAGCCGGTGAGCAGGGACACCTCCATTAGGGTCATGGTGGCTGCTCGATCGCCCAGGAACCTGGAGATTCACAGCCCCAGTGGCTCTTCCCATTTCCTCTCAGAGCCCCCACCTGCTCCAAGCTGCCATGGTCTCTCGCCCGAGAGGGCACGGCCTGCTTCTGGGTGTCCCTGTCTTCACTCTGCCCCTCTCAGCGGGAAGTTTTAGTGACCACAAACCTATGTGGGCTGGAAACGCCTCCACCTCCCCTCCACTCACTCAACCTCTCTTTGACCACTCTGTGGGAGAAAGACTGGGCTTTCTACTCTCGTACACAGTTCTAGTCTCGGAAACCCATCGAGTGTGAGTTTAGTTTTGGAGCCCCAGTGGGGTAGGGGTTATGAGTCGAGTTGGGCTGCTAATCACAAGGTCAGCAGTTTGAAACCACCAGTATCTCCACGGGAGAAAGATGGGGCTTTCAGCTTTTGGAAAGAGTTATGATCTGTCACCAAAATATAACTAATATCATTACAATAATCAATATAGAAGAGAAAAAAAAAAGAGTTATAGTCTCAGGAGCCCACAGGGCCCTTCTACCCTATCCTATAGGGTTGTTCTGAATTGTAACGCATGCGACGGCAGTGAGGTTGTGTGTGTGTGTGGCTCTTCCCAGGTCCTCTCTTTGCTGTCTGTAAGCACAATTGGGCTTTTCTTTGGGCCTAGCTGATGGTGGTGCCCCTGCTTCTGGAACAGAGCCTGGCACACACGAGATGCCCAGCCTCTTGAACAGCTTTCTTCCAGTTGCCCGCTTGTAGACTCCTACGGTGTCAGAGTGGGGCTGTGCTCCAGAGGGCTTCCTGAGAGACATTCCCAGGCTTTTCTTTAGAGGACCTGTGGTTAGCAGTTGAGCACATCACACGCTCAAGATATGCTTCTGTATGTGGGACAGAGCTGGGTGGCGACGCTTGGGGGACAGAGCAGGACTAGATGGGAGCTAGGGCATCTGGGGAAGGCCAGCTCTGGGCACCTGGGTCATGGACAGTGTTGCCGGGAGGGAGGCTGTCCTTGACCTTGACCTTGTCCTGTAGGTGGCAGGATGGGGGTAGAGTTGGACCCAAGGTGGGGAGAGGAATGAGGAACAGGTTGGGGGCCTGGGGAGCTCCATATCCAGGGTTGACTGGTTTCTGCCCTCGCTTCAGGGGTGCTCCTGAGCCTGGACAACAGCGCTGGGCCCTCCTCCCACCGGCTCCCACCTGGTTTCCATCCGGAGCCGGAAGGTCTCCTCCTGGTTCTTTTCTGCAGAGAGAAAGCAGGCGCTTAGAGGTCAGGAAGCAGGGCGCACAGGTCAGGGCACACACAGCCTCTGGAGGCAGCAGCTGCCTGAGGTCAAAGCCTAACTGTGTGATCGTGAGCAGGAGGCGGAGCCTTTCTGCATACTGATTTCTTCACCTGGAGGACAGAGAGCCCGATAGCGCTGTTGTCAGGATCAACAGCATTCCTATAGGCAAAGCACTTGACACAGCGTCTAAATGGACGTCAGTCGGCTCAACCCATGAGCTAGTTGTTCATCCTTATCAGGAAAACGAGACTTGCACCAAAGCTTTGGTCCCTAAAAATCCTGCCCCGGCCTGTCCCTGTCCTACAGGGAGCCTCCAATGGCAGTCTGCTCTCCTCCCGGGTACCTGGGTACCTGGGAACTCCCACTCTGGCCATGTCCACGGTTCAGGACTGGTTGAGCCCCATCACTTCTCAGCTGAACCCGTGTGATCAACTCCTTCCCGCTTTCCCAGCATCACCCTCTCCTTCCTGCAGTTTGTTTCCTCCCCCGGAATGGCCAGAGGGCAGTGGGTCAACTCATCTAGCTCCTCTGCTCCGAACCCTCCCTGGCTCCCACCTCGCTCAGAGCAAAAGCCCAAGTCCTCACTGAAGTCCACAAGTTTCATCACCATCTTCCCTGTCACCTCTCCACCTTTCCGACCTAAATTCTACCCCTTGCTCCTCTGTAGGCGGCCTGGCTCCACAGGTCCCCATGAGCACATCCCTGCCTCAGGGGCCCTTGCACATGCCATTTGCCTCGAGTGGTCTCCTCGCAAACCTTTGTGACTCTCTCTCTCTCCTTCCTTCATGCCCTGGTCGAAACGGCACCTCTCCTCACATCTGGCCACCCTTTCCTGTTGCACTTTGTACACCCCTCATCATCACCTGCTGTTCTTCCGTATTTTCTTGTTTACATTATGGACGTGTTAATGTTATACCTGAAGGACAGCACAGGTCTGGTCTGTTGATATTTGTGTGTTCCTGTTAGTCTCTCGCACTAGAATATGGATGACAACTCAATGTAAAGAAACCCAAATCCTCACAACTGGACCAATAGGTAGCGTCATGAGAAACAGAGAACAGATTGATGTTGTCCAGGTTTTTGTCTTGCTTGGGTCCACAATCAATGCTCATGGAAGCAGCAGTCAAGAGAGCAGAGGACACATTACATTGGATCAATCTGCTGCGCAAGACCTCTTGAAAGTGTTGAAAAACAAGGACGTCACTCTGAGGACTAAGGTACCGCTGACCCAAGCCATGGGATTTTCCGTCGTCTCCTATGCAGGTGACGGTTGGGCACTGAGGAAGGAAGACTGAGGAAGAGCCGATGCCCTTGAACGCTAGTGCTGGCAAAGGAAAGTACCCGGATTGCCCAATGAACAGACAGGTCTGTCTCAGAAGTATGGCCAGAGTGCTCCCTGGGAGCAAGGATGGCCAGACTTTGTCTCACATATTTTGGACAGGTTATCAGGAGAAACCAGTCCCTGGAGAAGGCCATCATGCTTGGTAAAGTGGAGGGGCAGCGGAAACAGAAGATCTTCCACGAGATGGGTGGACACAGCGGAAGGCACAATGGGTTCAGTCATGGGAACCCTTGGGAGGATGGTGCAGGACAGGGCGGGGTTTCCTTCTGTTGTGCATGGGCCATTCTGAGCCAGAACCACCCCGACCGCACCCAGCAACAGCCGGGGAAGAAGGGCATTGTTGTCTTGCATGTGCCCATGTTCCTGGTGCCAAGTACCAGGGCCTGGCACTCGATAAGCACTAAGTAAATAAATATCTGTTGAATGATCGAATGAAGTCGTTAACAGCAACAACAACAACAACAAGCCCAATAGCTGTCCGTCTTCATGTCTGTGCTGACTCATGGTGACCCCTGTGGGGTGGAGTAGAAGTGTGCTCCACAGGGTTTTCAATGGCTGAGATATTTATTGGGAGCTCTGTGGTAGTTCCATAATCCGGTGCCAATTTGAGACTATGAAGAGTGAAGGGGTGGAGTTTCGTCTGCCAATCAGGTCCCAGCTTGATGACCTCATTTGAAGGCGCTACAGAGATAAATAGCTCACTCGCTGGAGGTGGAACACACTCTGCTTCAATTCCCTGCGAGACATTCCTGCTGACAAGCCACAGGGAGAAACGCTGATGGCAGCCAGGTCCTTGCAGCTGGAGGAGCCACATGGAGACCCACACCAGCACTAAGGTGCTTCTACAACCACTGGGTCCACAGGACTCCCCACCCACTGGCCTGTGATCTTCTGGATTCAACGTCATTGCATGCATGATGCGAGTCTGAAGAGACATTTATACACTGGTATCGGACATATGGGCTAACATCAGACTTATGGACTTGATCTGGCCTGGGCTGGGATATTTTCTTAATATACAATTACTCTTTGATATAAAACTATTTCTTAGACACATATGATTGTCTATGATTTTGTTTCTCTAGTCCACCCAGATTAACACAAGCTCTTAGACACATCATAAAAACCCATCATTCAATCACATCAAGCAGTATTGTACAATTGCTACCATAATCAGTTTCAGTACATTTTCTTTCTTCTTGAACTCCTTGATATCAGTTCCCCTTTATTCCCAACCCCCCACCCAGGAACCCTTTTTATTTCCCCCCCATAATAGTTTTTTTGGCTGATTATTAGAAATGTAGTTCACCAGGCCTTTCTTCTGAGGCACCTATGGGTGGGCTTCAGCTGTCTTCCTTTTGGTTGGCAGCCAAGTGTGTTTCCTGTTTGCACCACCCAGGCTCTCTGAGTACAGCAGTAAGCGTCCATAATGTATAGGGCACGCTCAGTGCTGATCAGTAGCTAAAATGAAATGATAAAATAATAATAATAATAAAAAGGATTGCATGTCCTTGGGTCTAGGCTCAAGAGGAGCACTTGGCTGCTAACTGAAAAGTTCAAAGTCACCAGCGGCTCAGAGGGGAGAAAGATGTGCAGTCTGCTTCCTTCCGTACAGATAGTCTGATGGCGGCAATCTGACGCTTCCCTGTAGGGTCACTATGAGTCCGATGACAACCAGATCTAGGCTCACCTTCTGGGGCGCGCTGGAGGGTGACATTCAGGGAGTACTGGTTGCATCTGTCCTCCTGGGATTCCAGGATTCTGTGGTATATGGTCAGGATCTGCCCAGACATGGAAGAGGGGTGTCACGGCTTGTCCCCACGCTCTCTCCTTCCTTCTCTGTACTCTGGGTGCAGAGACGAGAATATTCTCCAGAGTCTGTCTAGCAGAACTCACTGGGCTGATGGACTTGGTCTCTATATGTGCTGTCTAGTAGGGTCACAAGGAGCCCTGGTGGCGTAGTGGGTTACGTGTTGGGCTGCTAACCACATGGCCGGCAGTTGGAATCCACCAGCTGCTCTGCAGGATAAAGAGGAAGATATACAGCCTTGGAAACACACCAGGGCAGTTCTACTCTGTCTGTAGGGCCGCCAGGAGTCAGAACTGAGTCCATAGCCGTGAGTTTGGATTTTTGATTGGAGTACGGTCTCCATGAGCCACGTGTGGTCCCTGAGCCCTTGGGATGCGGCTCGTGTGACGGAGGAACAAGATCTCTTAAGTTGTATTCCCATTTCACTGTCACAGAGACCCACAGAGGGGGTGTGGCTCGCCCAAGGTCACACAACAAGAGCCAGAGTTTCAACTGAAAACAAGACAAGAGGCTGCACTGCATTTGGCTAACCAGTGGGCAGTCCTCATGGGCCAGCGAGGCTGGGGCTGAGGCAGGAGCCGGGAAAGGGCTTCAACATTTTCAGGCCTTGAGGGCTATCCTGTATGGAGAATCCTGCCCCACAGGGGGGAGGCAAAGGAGATGGCTCTTTAGGGTCTCGGCTCAGGAGAGGCAAAGCCAAAGAACCAAAGCAGCTGCTCTTGCATCACCCCCAATGCACGGCGACCTCCTGTCAGAGTAGAGCAGTGCTCCAGGGGACCCCAGTGACTGAGTTCTCAGACGGGAGCCACCAGGCCTTTCTTCTGAGGCTCCCCTGGGTGGACTCAAATGACCAATTTGCAGTTAGCGGCGGAGTGGGCTGTTTGTATTACCTGGTACTCCAAAGAGGGGCGGATAGATTTTTTTTTTTAAGTGTCTAGGGTCTACCTTTTCTGTCACTTAGGCGAAGTGGAGACCATTCTGAATCTCCATTTCCCACCCGTTGAGTAGATTCCATTCCCAACTAAATCCCCAGGGTGGTTTTGGGAACTTAGCTTGGTTCCCAGCAAACAGGAGTGCCCTGCCTTGCTGAGTGTAATCTTGCCCTCCTGTCTGAGACTTGCTCCAGCTCCCACCAACGAGAGGGGCCCCGTGTGCCAGGTGAGAGTCCCAGGGGTGGGACCCAGACCCACCGAGATGGTGCCTCTTCCGTTGCCGCTGGCTTTGACCTGGAGGTCATCCTCGGCTGAGAACTGTGGGAGAAGAGGGCGTGGCTTGAGGCTGGCAAGAAGCAAGTCCCAGCAAAACCAAAGCCTGGCTCAGGGAGGGGAGCGGGCTCTGGTGCTGGGGCCTTGGTGCTGTCCCTAACTTCAGACTCTGAGCCCTGCCCACTTCTCCCCGTGCAGGTGCACCTTTTCCCCTTCCTCCTAATAGAGATTTCCTGGTGCCTGAACTGTCACCGAATAACTGGAGCCACAGTTCCCTTATCTAACCAGTAACCCGCCCGCGCTGTCAAGTCAGCTTCCATTCCTGGCGAAGTGCCTTGGGGTGGAGTAGAACTACAGTGAACCCTCGCCACTTCGCGCTTCGACTTCCGCGGCTTCACTCTATCACGGTTTTTGCGTAACAGCGCATGCTCTGTCATTACTGCCACTGATTGGCTCATACTGTACACGCTTGATGCCATAAGTAATGTAATAAATGATAATTGTAACGTCCAAAATGTTTTACTGTATTTTCCCTTTTTCATTTAATAAATTGGGTAATACGAGTGTAATGGTGACTAAAGGGTGTTTTTTCATGTCCTCTATGCTCTAACTACGAAAATATTTGATTTACAAATAAGGAATCCTACTTCGCGGAATTTCATTTATCACGGTAGGGTCTAGAACCGATTAACCGCGATAAACGAGGGTTCACTGTACACTCCATCCGGGTCTCAAAGGCTGAATTTTCAGCATCTCCCAAATTCCTCCTGAGCAGACCCCCCAAGAGACTGACCTCAGGGGCCTCTCTGCATCCACTCTGTTTCCTTTGTCTCCTGCTTCCCACACCAGCTACTAGACAGATGGTTAGTTTTCCCATGCCACTGCCCTCTGCTCCAGCCCCACTTCCCTTAGCATAAAGTCCTCAGCCTTCGTCGTGCCCCTGCACTCCCAGCCACGGCGCCCCCCTCCCCGCCCCCGCTCTGAGCCCTGCCAGCTGCCCAGCCTCCTGCCACACCACTACCCCCACCCTCCCCGCCCATGCACCCTCCCATCCAGCCATCTCCGTGCCTGCCTCAGGCTGCCACTGGGTGCTGTTCCCTCTGCCAAGAATGCTCTTCCCCACCCCTGCCTCCTCCATGTGGATAACCTCCTGATGATCCAGGCACCTCCACTGAACACATGTGTGACCTTGAACAAGTCATTTTTCTCCTGGGACTCTTCATCCCCATGAGGCTCACACAGCCCTGCGAGGTCTTTGCCATCGCCTCCGTGCCCTCTCACCTCTCCCCACTCTCCCCTGACTCCTTGCCCTCCAGCCACACCTGGCTGTCGTCAGGAAGTTCCTGCCGCAGGGCCTTTGCACTGCTGTTTCCTCTGCCTAGACACACCGTGTGCAAGGCCCACTCCCCCCACCTCCTGAAAGTCTTTGCTTAAATGGTACCTTCCCGGGTGAGACCAACCCCTTGCCACCCTACGTGCGTCTTATTTATTTTTTTCTCCCCTCATAGAACTTACCACTATGCAACACAGTAGCTATTCTACACACTCGTCTCTTTACTGTCTATCTATCTCCTCCACGGATAGGTAACATTCTATCCACTGCCCTCAGCCCATTCTGACTAATAGAGACCCTACAGAGTGGGGTAGAACAGCCCTATAGGAGGATTTCCAAGACTGTAAATCTTTACGGGAGCAGGGCATGGATTCTTTTTCTTTTCTTTTGTAAGTCTTGTCCAGGGTTGTCTTCTTAGAACCGTGACTGGAACACAGTCCCACTAAACTGCCCATCAAACCCATGTCAAAGAATCGAAGCTTAAATGCCACTCTCCTGACCCTGACCCTGGGTTAGTGCCCTCTTAAACCAGACAAGACAATCCCAGCGCCGTCGTGTTGATCCCGACTACGGCGGTGCCCGCGTGCAGCAGAGTAGAATCGCTCCATCGGGTTTCCAGTGGCCGAGTTTTTGGAGATCGATCACCAGGCCTTTCGTTGGAGGCGCCTTTGGTGAGCAGTTGAGTGTGTGAAACGACTGGACGGGGGTTCTCAACCTGTGGGTCGCGACCCCTTTGGGAGTCGAATGACCCTTTCACAGGGGTCGCTTAAGACCATGCATGGGAAAACACATATTTCCGATGGTTTTAGGAACCGAGACACTGCTCCTCTATCCGTCTCCAGGCGGGTCCGCCCACATGCAGATACGCCCACAGACGAGCACCCCGTGTGAAGACTGTTACCCATGCTACACCATGCTTCGAGACAACATTTCATTGATTTGTGATGAAAGAAAACATCAAACTCCTAGCCACTGAATGCTTTCCGACTCGCAGCGACCCTACAGAACAGGGCAGAGCCGTCCCTGTGGGTTTCGGAGGCTGTCATCTTAATGGGAGTAGTAAGCCTGGTCTTTCTCCCTGGAAACAGCTGGTGGTGACGAACTGTTGAACGTTGTAGCTAGCAGCACAACTGGTCACCGCCACTCACCAGGGCTAACGCGCTGGCAGTATAACCCAATTCCTCCCGATAGTCATGAGAGCAACTCTGGGACGCAGAGAGAAACACGACGCTTGGCCTAGGCCTCAATGGCACCGTGTGGCATTCCCTGGGCCCTGGGGTGTGTGTGTGTGTGGGGGGGTACCTTTGCCGATCGCTGCTGGTAGGCGTTATTCTGGTCGATGAGCCATTCAACATTCCTGGCTCTCTTGGGAACGCTGATCTGGACCCGGAGATCCTGGACAGCCTCCGAAGAGATAGCTGCTCGGAAACGGGCCAGGGCCTCCAGCGCCACCACCGTGGTCTGGGTGTCGGGAGAGGGGTGGGGGTGGGAGTCAGCACCATAGACAGCGTCCCCGGACGCCCCCCGTGCTGCCGCGTCAGCACCACGGAGAGTTCATCCCGGGTGGGTAGTCCGCTCAGCACCTCGGCTGGGCTCGGGCCTCGAGGTGCCTCGCTCTCTCCCAACCTCCCGAGGTCCTTGTCACCTGGGTGGACTTGAAGCCTCCTCCCAGCTCCCTCTTCTTCAGTAGCCAGTTGGCGATGGCCTGCGTCTCGTTGATCCGCCCCAGCTCCAGCTTCTGCAGCAGCGCGTAGGCCGTGGCCTCGATGGTGTACAGGGAGTCCCAGTCCTTCTCCTGCACTGGCCAATGAGTTTTATCTGGAAAAGCCAGGCCCATCACAAAGAGGTGATCTGTCTGCTCTTGGCCCAACTGTTCTCACCTGCTACTTCATTCAGCACAGCCCTGGTGGCGCAGTGGGTTACACGTGGGGTTGCAAACCACAAGGCCGGCAGTTCAAACCCACCAGTCACGTAAACATTTAGTCTCAGAAACACACAGGGACGGCTCTACCCCGTCCTATAGGGTCACTAGGAGTTGGAAATTGGCTCCATGGCAGTGAGGATGTTTATAGGGCTGTGATGATTTGCTGGGGGCCCCTGATGGTGTAGTGGTTACGTGTTGGGCTGCTACCTTGCAAGGTCAGCAGTTCAAAGCCACCAGCTCTGAGGGAGAACGGTGAGACCTGGAACCCACAGGGCCACGATGACTCAGAATCCACTCGGTGGCAGTGGCTTTTGTTTTTTGGGCGAGTCACGAGGTTAAGAGCAAGGATGTTCCTTTGAGGACTAAGGTACGCCGGACCCTGAGCCCTGGTCTTTTCCACCACCTCAGACGCATGTGAGAAATGAACATTGAAGAAGACCTCAGAAGAATCGGTGTATTTAAGCGAGGGTGCTGCTGAAGGAGGCTGCCTCAGGGGCAAACACATCTGTGTTGGATGGAGCACAGCCAGCTTACTCCTGAGAAGCCAGCATGGCGAGACTCCATCTCAGGTACTTTGGGCATGTCAGGAGAGACAAATCTCTGGAAAATGACAGACTGCTGGCTAAAGGTGTGTGTGTGTGTGTGTGTGTGTGTGTGGGTGACAAAGAGGAAGACCCTTGATGAGATGGATTGACACAGAGGCTGTAACAATGGGGTCAAACTTAACAATCCTGAGGCTGAGGCAGGACCGGGCAGTGTTTTATTCTGTTGTGCACGGGTTGTTCTGAGTCGGCTCACAGCCACCTGAGTTGGACTAGACTTGATGGAAGTGAGGGTTTTGAAAAATTCATTTGTTGGGGGGCAGAGGGGGCGGGAGGGAAACAAGAGGAGCGGCTACTACAGGCTCCAAATAAAAGAAATGTTTGGAAAAGAACAATGGCAACCTATGTACAAATATGCTCGATACAATTGATGTACGGATTGTTACAAGGGCGGTCAGAGCCCCCAGTAAAGTGATCTTTTAATAATAATAATAATAAAAATAAAATGGTTCATTTTGTTTTTTAAACTTTATGTGATGTCTTGTGCTGAGGAGACTTCTGGGCACAGCATTTTCAGAACAACCCTAGACAACGGGGATGTGAACTCCTGAGAGATGAGGAAAGTGAGGTTCAAAAGGGTTTTCCCCGGACCCTCTAGGCACACAGGCGTGAGTGGTCCTTACCCCACATCTCTTCACGTGGGACAGGGAGAAGACCAGAGGAGGCCCTTTGAGCACTGAAAAGAGACCCCACCTTCCGTGACCTCTATCCGTCCTTGACCATGCCAATCCCGTCCTCACGTCTGGGGGTTGGTGCACGCTGTTCTCTGTGCTCGGGATGCGCTTGGCCCTATACATAGGTGGGTTATGGGAGACAGATAGGCCGTCTTCTCCTATAGGGTTTACAGTCTTAGAAACCCAGAGAGGCAATCCTCTCTCCTAGGCTTGCTGGGAGTGGGAATTGTTGACTCTGGCAGTGAGTGTGGAGTGTCAGCGGAATGAACATTCCATCCTTCATCCCAGTTGAAAGGCCACCTTTTCACCAGGCCTTCCTAGACCTCCCGATGCTCGTGCCTGCCCCCCTCCCGGCCCTTCCACCACGTTCCTTGTTTGATTGCCATCCTCTAAGCACATGTGTATTTGCCACATCTGCATGTGCTCCCATACCTTACAGGGGAAACGAACTCGGGAGGGGGTTGCAAAAACCAAAGAAATACGCAGCATATCGTAACACCCACATGATTTGCAGAACGATACAGTCTCTTCGTTATGAACGGATCTGTTTGCGGTCTGCCTCCCTCCTCCAGGTGCCAGGGGCCCCGGAGGGCAGGGACTCCATCTGTCTCCTTCAGCCGTGTGCCTCTTGCGGCTCAAGGGCTGGCATACAGTGTTGTCGTTAGAGGCCCTCGAGTTGGTCCCTGGTTCTCGGTGACCCCACGCAAAAGGGACGTGAACGCTTGTCGCCCATAGAGTTTTCCGTAGCTGATTTTCTTTTACCCCAGAAGGAGAGCCCTCGGCCTTTCTATCTTATCTATCTTAGTCTGGAAGCCCCACCAAAGCCTACTCAGAATCGAAGCAACGTGCACACCTTCACAGACAGACAGATGGCGGTAGCTGTGTTTGTGAGGCATGGATGGGAACTGATGGTCCCACTGATTGTCCACACGGACAGTAAGAGTCCGGCCACCGAACAGCCGCTGTCCTCCCACGCTCATCTCGACCCTGCCTTCCCACTCCCTGCCCTCGAGCCCCTTTCCCAACCGGGCAGAGCTGCTCCTATGGGTTTTTGAGACGGAATCTTTATGGGAGTGGAAATCCGCATTTTCCTCCCGCAGAGGAACCGGGGGTTGAACCGCGGACCTTGTGGTTTGCAGCCCAATGTGTGATGGACCGCGGGTAGATGCTCAGTTAACACCAAGGGACGAATGACACGTTGCTTGGTTTGAGCTCCCACCGACTCCCCACCACCACCACTCCCACCCACGGTGACTGGGCTGCTCCACAGTCAGCGAGCAAGTGATCCACACCCACCGTGGCTGGCAAAGGTGTCCAGGCGGTCATTGGCCCGGGGGCTGTTAGCGAGGGCCAGGGCATAGGACACTATGGCCATGGCAAAGGTGGTCTGAATGTTCGGCAGCCGTTTCTCTAGGAAGCCACGGGCTTTCTCGATGCTAGCAACCAAGTTCTAGGGGTTCAGAAGGAAGAGGCCAGAGACGCGATCAGAGGAAAGAAATCTTGAAGTAAGAGGAGAGGGATCACTCTGAGGGAGGGAGAAGGTGGGTGGTTCCCTCTCCCAGGGGTCCTCTGGGATCCTACCGGTACTTGGTGCACGCACATCTCCTTCCCCGTATCCAGGGCGATCAGTACAAGTGCCGTGAGAGATATGTCTGCCTCGGAGCCTTGGTAGCCACCCTGTGGATACAGAGTCACACCCATGTTCCCCTAAGCATCAAGGGGCCCCCTTCCCTACCTCTGCTATCTGACCTTGAACAGTCCCCAGGTGCCCAGCTCAGAGCTGGGTGATGATGTAGAGGGGATGGAAAGCCCCGAGGGGGCTGTCTTGGAGTTTGTTTGTGTGTTCCATCCAACTGATCAAAGTCAGCAGCCTGGAGGATGCTGTACTGAGTTCTCTACTGATCTCTCTCCCCCGCCCCTCCTCTTTTTTAAAGGATAGAAGAAGTTTCAGGCATTAGAGTAAATTGAACACAGGACCACACCCTACAGGTGCCGACCTGGGGGAGGGGGAGAGGGGAAAGGGAAGATGGGGAGAGAGAAAGAGCAGAGAGGGAAGAGAAGGAGAGGGAGAGAGGGAGGGAGGGAGGGAGAGAGAGAGAGAGAGAGAGAATCCCCTTCTCTACCGATCTCAGTGCATCATCGAGACAACTCAGCTGATGAGGACCGGTGAGAGGAAGTCTCCCCATTGCTGGTCAATGACCGACTCCTGGCTCACCCTGCTCTTTATTCTGGCAGCTTCCATCTTCTCCCTTCAGGCGCTGCCTGCCGCAGTGGCCGAGGAAGTCACTGTGCACACGAGTCAGGTCGTATCGGTCCTCGGCTACAGCCCTCCCGTCTCATGCACGACAAGCCTGGGTCCATGAGCCCCACCCAGCATGCTCCTGTTCCTTTCTTGCCAACACTTCCCCTCTTCTCTCCCATTCCATCCCTCCGCTCCTGCCACCCAGGGCTGCTCACTGTTCCTCAGACATGCCAGGCTGGGTCTGGCCTCAGGACCTTTGCACACTCTCCTCCCCCTCCTTAGGAAACTCTTTCCTGACACCCACACGGCTTGCTCCTTCACATCCCTGGGTCTCTGTGCAAAGATCATCTCCCCACGAAAGCTTTCAAAAGGACCTCCTCATTACCGCGATCCACGTTCCTGTCTTTCTCCCCAGGATACTGCTACTATGCCACCCCTATCACCGCCTCCACAGAACACCGGTGCTGTATGGTCATTTCTTTATAGACACATCTCCTGTCACCTCCCAAGCCAGGCATGGCCTCCTGCTAAATTCTCTCCACGGCCTTTCTGTAATTCTCTTTCATGAAACATAGCGCAATTGTAAATTAAACAATTACTGGCTGTGATTCTTTAGAGGGAGCTTCTGTCTCCTCCCCAGCAGCTTGTGCACTCCACAAGGGCAAGTGCTGTCATTGCATTGCTTACTGCTGTCTCCCCTCTGCCTAGCAAAGGGTTGGTATAGAGTACCTGGTGATTAAATGTTTGTTGAACAAATGGATGGATGAATGGATGGACGAAGGGATGGATGGATGGATGGATGGACAAATGTATGGATGGACAGATGGATGGGTAGATGGATGGATAGATGGATGGATGGACAAGTGTATGGATGGACAGATGGATGGGTAGATGGATGGATGGATGGATAGAGGGATGGACAAATGGATGGATGGATAGATGGATGAATATGGATGGACGGATGGATGGATGGATGGATGGATGGATAGAGGGATTGATGGACAAATGGATGGATGGACAGATGGATGGATGGATGGATGAATGGATGGATGGATGGATAGG